ATGAGATAATTTAAAAAATAGCTTATGAAGGGTTAATTACTTTCAGAGCATAATTAAAGGAATTTAATGGGTGTAAATTTTGCAGGATGATGTACCAGAGCTGGAAGAATATTTCCTGGTGAATTTAACTTATGTTGAACTTATCATGGCTCCTTTAACTTCATTTCCTCCCAGATTAGGTATGATGGGGTTTTTTTTGTTTGTTTCTTTCTTTCTTTCTATTCATTTCAAATTAAGTAAAGGAACTTTATTTTTTAATCAAAAGTGATCATTTTGATGTTTGTTAGTATCAGCTATATGTCAAAATATAATGGGCTTTTAGATTTATTTTTCTTTAGAGACTATCATATATTGCAATTTTTACATTAGACAGTATAAAACATTAAGAATTATTGTGTGATGCTCTTTACATTTTACGACTATTTTATAACCAAATTTATATCCTCAAAATAGATTTTATTCTTTGGTAGGCATATTCCTTTCATTTTCTTTTAATACTAGCTATTTTCATTAGATCTCTAAACTATCAGATGATTTTATTTTCTTTTAGTTTGTTCCTTTGTTTGTTGTGTTCTGTGGTTCTTTTTTGACCTTTTATCTTTTTCTTTTCATGCTTTTAGAAAAGACTCAGTTAATTCATTACAGACTAAAAGGTAAAACTTGAACCTTGGTACAAATTTATGTAGATTCCTTTAAAAAGATGTATTCCTATATTTAAACACAAACTCCTGTATGCGATTTAGGCATTTACTGATGGGAAATTTTGTCTGAAGCTTGTAGGTGTGACAGCTCAATGGAGGGTGGTGGTGAGTTGGTTAGAAGGTGTGCTTGGGGGCGGGGGGAATTAATCTGAGTTAAAGGAGGAGAAGGTTGGCCAGGAGCAGTGGCCTGAGGAGCAGGCATTCCTCATTCACTTCCGAGGATCAATGTGACACCTTTGAAAATACTGAAAGGAAATAATCAGTTCCTGACATATTATTGTTTGAAAAGTTGCAGTTCTTTTGCAAAAGAAATAGATGATTCTAATGACTAGGCTGCTTATATCAAGTATGATCACAGGATAATTGTTGTTCATGCTAACAAAACTAACCAAATACTTCATATTTCTTTCACAGTCACATTAGAGGTAATTTGAATAGTTGACTTTTGTTGAGGCTTTCTAATGCCCCTATTTCAAATGCTTTGTATGTTAGTACTATCATTACTTAGATCTCCCCATTTTACAGATGTGGTAGCTGAGCTAAGAGAAGCTAAGTAACATGCCTTAAATGACACAGTTAGGAGGTGGTAGAGCTAGCTTCAATGGCATGGCTTGATTTTAGAATCTCTGCTTTTTAGCCTTGGGTCTGATGGGCACAAACTCTGATGTTATATTCTTTTCCTGGACAGTGTTGTTCTTTTCACTCTGGAGAGAATTATGCTCCCCTTTCCCCTTTTTTCACCCAGGAAGCTGTCCTAAGTTTCCTAGATCTCTGAAATTTAAAAGATAAAGACAAAGTATTAAAACAAACAAACAAACAAACCAGTGACAGAGTTAGTTAATATTTCAAGACTGAATAGGAGGTATTGGTAACACTGAACTTGGTGCTCAGAATGCAAAATAAAAAGGGATATGTTTACTTCAATATGAATCTGCCTTTATTTCACCAAACCTTTTCCCCATTTCCCCACTTGTCTCAGCATCTCTTCATATCCCTGTCTCTTTCCGTGTCTCTTTTTCACACCTGTATTTTCTCTGCACTGCTCCCTACCTTTCTCTTCCCATTTCTTTTTCCTCTTTTCTTGCTCTTCCTACTCCTTCCAGCTGTCCGCGTTTTACTTTCCTCCTGAAATGGTGATGTTGTAGAACAGAGGTGCCAAATATGTTTTAATTGATTAAACTAATAGAAGCAAAACCATAACCTCAGTTGCTTATTATTTCATACTGTACTCAGTTGATTAATTTTCTATGAATCAGTGACTCTTGTTAGCAAACAGTGTCCTTATTCAGATGTTACAAGCATTTGTGTCTTTATTTTCTTAACTATCTTTTGAGTAATGTTGACAATACCTATCTATACATTAGGGATTATATAATCTTGAAAGGATTGTCTTTAAATTTTATATCAAAAAGTGCTTTCTAATCATTTACATTTATTTTAAAATACGTTTTTATGTTCTTTCAGATTCAGAAGGCTTGACTGCGCAAATTATTATTGATGCCAATGATGGCGCCCAAGGTATGATCGAATGGCAACATAGCAGGTAAGGCCAAGGCTGCGTGAGAGCCCTTCCTGAGTTTTGGATTCTTTACTATCCACCAGATAGAAGCTTATAAGGGAAAAATGAATGTATTCTGTTTACTTTATTGTAGGTTTGAAGTAAATGAATCTCACGGAAGTTTAGCATTGGTAGCCCAGAGGAGCAGACAGGCTCTTGGCCATGTTTCCTTGTTTGTGTATGCTCAGAATTTGGAAGCACAAGTGGGGCTGGATTACATCTTCACTCCAATGGTGGGTCTCAAAATCTATCACAGATGACTTTTACAAATTAATTTTTAATCGTTATTTATTTATTGAGAAGTATAGTGATTTAGGTCCTGTAAACATAAATTAATCTTAATAAACAATTATATATTTTACAGTGAATTAAAGCAGATTTCTACATGATGAAATAGTTCCCTTCACTACTTTAGTAAATAATATAAATCGAATTTTTAGTACTATTCTAAAGATCATTCTTTATTCATTGACTATTTCATTTCAATATTTGATACTGGAGAACGCAAGCTATTGTGTTAAAGAATTTTTATCATTAGAGGACCTTCCCAGAGTGTTTCTTATGCTTCTAGGAAATTTTAACTCTTTTCTTTGTTTTAACTTACTGTAACATCTTTAGTGTTTTAAAATACTTTTTACTTTCTCTACTCATGCCTTTTATTCCTTAACAAAATGTTTACTTTCTTCTTTTCCTCCATAAGTTTTACTTTTTAAACTCAATATTGCCAATTTGAAGAAAAAGATATCATGCGAAAAATAAAGAGGAAAATTTCCTGTAAAGAAACTTATTCTTCACATTCATAACTATATTGTATTTCTTTCCAAACAGTGAATTCTGTAACAGCTCACATTCATTTAAATATAATACAGTCTACTTTTACCTTTTTGACCAGATTCTTCATTTTGCTGATGGAGAAAAGCATAAAAATGTTGACATCATGATTCTTGATGATGACATTCCAGAAGGAGATGAAAAATTTCAGCTGATTTTAACAAATCCTTCCCCTGGACTGGAGCTGGGGGAAAATACAATAGGTAATTGGTAATTTCTTATACAGTTTCCTCTCCCTCATGCTGGCTTCTCTAATATGGTGCAGATGTAAAGGGATTAGAGTGTCTTGGTGGTTTTCTATGCTTAGAATGAAAAATATTTTAAATTAAAGCATTTCAGAATTTCTGTGTCAGGGTAACAATGCCTTTAACCTGTGTGTGTTAATGTATGTGTGTGTATGTAAAAAACAAAAAAAGAAGGTTGGTACTAAAGGTAATTTAAATTATTTCCTCAGTTATTGTAGGTTTAATTTGTAGATGTCTTTCCTTTGTAATTTGAGTTCTGCTCTGGTTTCCTGCTTGGCAATAGAAGGAGTGACAAAGGTAGTTCTTTTAGTGTCATCTAACTGCTGTAGTATTTCCACATAGAGTTGAGATGTAGTGGTGCCTCAGACAGATTACAGGAGCCATAATTCTTTGGTTGGAACAGTTTGATGTTGTTACTATAAGTCATCCTGTTTCACGACTTGCTGACTGTTTAGAGAAGGGAAGAAAGAGAAAAAGGAGAAAACTTCAAGAACATACCTAACTTTAGAGTTGAAAGTGCTCTTAAAAAGTCACTTCATTTCCTTCTGATGGTAGATATGCCAAGTAGATTTCAAGGACTGAATGTTTACTGACTCTTGAAACAGGAGTTCTAGCTAGTGGTTGAATGTTCTTTGGGATTTTTAATTAAATTAGCATATGTATTCCTAAATTATTGGCCTTTATGGAAAAATATGATTCATAGTGAAAAATGTGAAAGAATTTTGAGTAACCCAAGGACTGAATTTTACTTTTATAGCTCTATTAATAAAACAAATTGATATTTTTAAGTCTCCAGAAACCTTTTTTTGAGTCTCTTGCCATTGCTTCAA